TTCCCCGGATATGGCTCCCATTGAACATTCTGGGACGACATTGGGCGTAGGATTGCTGCAGGTAGACAGCCGCGCACACTTGCACAGTTTGAACAGAGATTGGTGTTTGAGTGGAACCAATTGCTTCAAGAATTCTTTCAGGCTAGTCAACTCAATGAGGTGACGTAGCACGACCTGTGTGCAAGCTCAAGGTGGCTATAGAGACTGTCACTTTTCGCGTTCAGGGTTATCTCCATTTGACGGACTGTGGTCAATTTGAACGTACAGTGAAACCTGTCTAATCCGGCACCCACGGGACCGAAAAAAAATGCCGGTTTAGACAGGGTGCCGGATTAGACAGTGACGATCATTTTCCGTTGTAAAATGGCGGGACCAAAATGTTATGCCGGCTTTGCAATTCAATGTCAACAGCAACTTTCAGCTCATAAATTGACAGCGTTTTCTATAGAATAAATGATTGGATATAATTTTGGTTGTCTTCTATTTGAGAACTTGGCAAAAAAACACAGACTTATATATATGAATATATATATATTCAGGTATATGGTGACTCGTCTCATCCCATTCAGGCAACCTGGTCGCTTTCTGTCAAAAATAGCACTCTGTATTTCGGCCACAACAACAATCCCGAACAATGTGAAGCTTGAAAAGTTTAAACGTCTGCTGAATTCATGCAAATGCATTTCATGCATAGAATGTTTTTTAACGTAGTCATTTCAGACATGTGAAAATTCTTGTGACAACAGATATTTAGCTGGAACACAAAGCCGTGCCCACCTATTCCTGTACCACATACATTCTGCATGGAACTATGGCATGGGTAAAGTATCAAACGATTCATTGTTTAGAAAAAGTATTTTGGTCATTTCAAAAGAAACATTTCAATTATTTGTTAGGTTATAACTTTCTTGGCGGATAGAAGGGGAAGCACTGCAGTATGTCTATCAAAGGCATGAACAGCGGGGTTGTCCTTGTCTTGCCACATGTCTCTTCCCTTCAGATGACGGAAACACTGACGTCACTGCATGCTGTCTGCTGCTGTCTCGAAGTCCGTGAACACTGTTGTCGGCGACAAAGGAACAGGTGAACAGGTACTGAGTGCGGAGAACAGATGTTCATAGGTTGTCTGCTTCTTGTCGGGTCGAAGGGCGTGTGCTAGAGGGAACATCTCTCGGTCGACCTGGGCTTGCACTGTGTAGATCTGCTTGAAGAGCTTGGGTCAGGACTTGAACGTTCCATCACAGAACCAGAACAGTAGCAGGGCATCCCAAACCATGGTGCCCACAACGCAAGTCATAATAATAAGTATAGCGCCCTATATCCAATCACCAAGTGGTTACTCATTGCGCTGACATATATACATATTTACAACAGGAGTTCAATTAGATGTCAGAGTGCCTCTTAAACAGGAATGTTTTTAAGTTAGACTCGCAGCTGGCTATTGAGGGGGATTCTTTGAGAGGCACATGCAGATTGTTCCAGAAGATAGTTTACAAACAAGGAAGTCCGTAGACAGTTTCATTCCTCCATCTGGCTTTCACACTCAACAAGTAGTTGTTTGTGAACAAGATACTGACCGCCTCTGTCGTTGCCTCCGAACCTGATCTCTACACATTCATTCGCCATTTAGATGAAGTTATTTGGCTAAAGTTTGCCATATATACTGGTAATACCTTCTCAGTGATAAATCTAATTCTAACCATGTCAATGTATCTCACTTTAACACATATATGAAAAATGTAAAGACATTCAAATAATACCATATCATTGTATCTCACACATTTCAATATATAAATGGACAATGAATTCAGATTATAACTCAAATTTATTGTAGATCTTAAATTGTTAATTTGTCTCTAATATGTGTCCAAAGTATGTTGGATGCATTTATATCTGAAAGGAAAAGACAAAGTGTGTTTTCATGTTGTTCAGAATATGCGCTAATAGCCTGCAATGAATTCATTCAACTATACTATATGTATATTAACTTAAAACTGTGAAACTGTGGAAGGCTGTTAATGGTGTCATTCCCGTGGTGCCAATGACGAGGCACATCTACTGTTATAATTATCGTCATATCAGGTAGCGTCTTGGAGGAAATCAATCATGAAACACAAGGAGGATGTCAGTCATTTTGTGACGAAACAAGTGAAGGATTCAAACATACTCAGCATCATTTATTGCCCATGTTGATTGAACACAATTGACAGCTTTTGTACCAAGCAGCATCTTTTAGTGAGAGGAAGTGGCTACAACCAATATATACACAGATGGTATTAGATTAATGATGATTACCTGCCATGATGATAATACCCATGCCGTGACATATTTGGAACTGACAGTCTTGGATTACTGACCGATACAGGGAACACTGACACTTGCTGTAGTTGATTCCATTCGTGGTGAAACTTGGATGCGAGAAGAAATAACTTCATATGACACTGTTTACTAATGAAATGAATATAATGATATTAATAGTCCAGTATGTCACTTTATGTCAGGTAAAGTAACATAATACAGTGTTAAATAATACTGAATGCCAGTAGGCATCCTACAGAGTCCAACAAGGAGATTGACTGATGTACATCTGGGCATCAAGATGGGAGGCGGTCATTCAGCAAAGAGACTTTTGAAGAAATCTTGGAAAACATAAAGATAAACAGACACAAAGAATGTGTATCGAAAGATATTTGGTTCGCAAAGTGATGTCGTTGAGTCATGTGGCAGAAGAGAACAAAATAAAAACAGAATGATTTGGTGTTGATATTATTTAAAGGTGCTGACTTCGGATTTTGTCATTGGTGTTATAGGTGCGAAGCGAGAACATTTTTTAGTTGAACAATTAGTTTCAAAGTTTATAAATTATGCGTCAGTGCTATTCACGTGCCGGCTAAACTTTCATCATCGGAAAACGCATGGGGCCAGGAATAGTACCCGGAGCTTTGCAAATTCAAGATGGGAACTTAAAACAGCTGCCGTGATGAGCCGCTCGCCAAAGTTGAGGATCTGCTTTCGGGGTTCGATCACACCATGCAACATTAAAAGCTGTTCCGCCACAGGAAGACGACATACGAAAATAACATCTGCATTGCAAATAACTCTACCTTTCTGTTTGTTGCCACGTTCAGCAATATTCCATCGATATACCGCCGTGATGTTGCTGGAATATTGCTTAAAGTGGCGTAAAACTAAACTCAGTCAGTCCATCGATATGACGGCGGTCATTAAGACAAATATCGAGCCTGGACCAGCCGTTCTGGTAGCAAACATTTCGAACATCGATAATTTGTAATTTGAATACGAGGTCATGTATCACCCAAATCAGCGAACATCCGGACCTCGAGCGGCATGGGTTGCTGAAGACTAATGTCAGCCTGAATCTCCACAGCGGCTATCCTCTTTACCTTCCTGTCAAACATACCTGACTCAATAGGTTAAATATATTTTTAATTATAGCTCAAAGATTAACGTGAAACACTAACATCCTCATTGTAACATCGTTTACAGGATCGGGATACACAGTTTATATGATATGGAGTGAGAAGGGAAGACTTCAGCCAAACCTATTGACGACAGGTGGGCCAGATTCTTCATAGTCCTTCTTGGTGATACACAGCTCGTTGAAAGTTGGCAGAGACGCCATCTGGGATCCTCCATGCCAGGCAGAGCAATGACCTTGACCTCCACGTCAGGTCCAACAAGAGCAGATACTTCCTTCCTGATTCTGGCTTCCATTCCAGGGAACATGGTGTTTCCACCTGCCAACAGGATGTTCTGGTATAACTCTTGGCGGGAGTTGGTATCACACCCCATAATTGAGGCGTTGATCATTCGATGCATCCCAGGTTCCATAGCATGTACTACGGACGGTTGGAACAAACCCTCCGGCCCCCTGAACCTCTCGCTGTTGACAGTGATGTATCTACCGCCGGAAAAACTCAAACGTCATCTCCAAAGCTTTGGAATATGCTGCCGTTATCATTTCCTTATCAAAGTCAGCAGCAACATAGCAAACGGCTTTTTTCATTTTCTCGATCATTTCAAAAGAAGTATTGAGCGCCATGGACAAGAAATTGGACACACACCGTCCAGCTAAGGAAGACATCTTGACGGCTTCACGTACTGCTTTGTTGCCCTGGATTGGGGTGATTGTTGTTAATTCAGCGCCAGATCCAACAACAATCCCCGATGTCATCCCGGATGCCGCCAGTGAGAGAGACGCCGTGTCAGCAATATACATTGCAGGAGCTTTGAAGGTCTCAAACAGGATCTGAGCCATCCGTTCTTAGGTGTCTTTGCTGCTGATAGGAGGTTTTGTAATTAGGATAGGATGGTCTTCCAGAGAAGCTCCTAGCCTGTTGTAGGCGTGTTGCCACACCTTCTCTATGTCCTCCCATCCTGTAATGCTCCCGTAATTAACAGGAAATCTGAGATTGAGGGCAGGCTTCATTCGGATGGGCTCCATGCCAAAAAATTAGTTCCCACCGTTGGACGAACCCTGAAAAGAAACATAAAACAAATGTAGCAGTTGTGGTGTAAGATCTAATGACTGCACTGGTTGTACAGGATACACTCGCTGATCAAAGGATCTCTTGATGCCAGAATGTAAATCATTTAACATTCAGTGAACAAATATCATATTATCACAATGCATGTATGTTAAGTTGCTTCCTGGGCCTTGTTTTTCAATTTGAGCAAACATTCTGATCCATATGCACGAAGACATTCTAGTGATAGTGTGACGTACACGTTTTGAAAAAATTGACTGCAGTTCTTTTGCACACGCCGGACTTAAGAAACATTATATATTTGAAACATAAACATTCAGGGAATATTAACGCATCTTTCTTATTAAAAGTAATACAAAATATTTTTAAAGCTTACCTGATAGATTAATAGCCTTTGAAGAACTAAAATACGAAACACATGCAGTTACGAAGACGTAATAATTGAATTGTGGTTTGTATTGTTCACCTGTGGCTGTGTGGGAAGATTCTTACCGAGTATCTTGCACTCCCAACAACAGAACGGATGTCCAACTGCGGGATGCTCTCCCCAGCGAAGCCAGCCCTGAAGTTCTGGGATCCATTATCGAAGACCAGAGGAGCGCCTGACATGATTCAACGTACAGCAGGAACAGCACAGAGAGAAGCGTTCGTTATCAGTCGGATGCCACCAGCAACTACAGCAACGTCCGCCCGTATTTATAATAACTACAACCTATCAGCATAGTAATAATTCATTCAGTATATGACAGTTTATTAGCGCTGTTGAATGAATTAAACGACTGTGAGTGAATTATAATGAACTGAACTTTGCCTTACTGTTGTAAAAGAGTCGCTGATTTCAAGTCAGCCCAAAGTGAGAAGCTCTGACACAACTGCTTTCAGCGAAATGACAGCGTTGTGTACGAAATGTGGACCAGACAATCCAGTCATTAAACTCGTGAGGATCGATCTACGCTACTGATTACAATAACATGCAGCAACAGCGTCAGTGATCACTCGATCCCATCTGACCCGTGACGGTCCAGGTTAGAATATTGATCTTCAGTAACCCATGCTTGTCGTAAGAGGCGACTAACGGGATCGGGTGGTCAGGCTCGCTGACTTGGTTGACAAATGTCATCGGTTCCCAATTGTGCAGATCGATGCTCATGCTGTTGATCACTGGATTGTTTGGTCCAGACTCGATTATTTAAAGACCGCCGCCATATAGCTGGAATACTGCTGAGTTTGGCGTAAAACTAAACTCACTCACTCACTCGATCCCATCTGTCGGTTCTAACGATCAACACGGGTTGCTTAAGTCTCTAAACGTAATACAGACTGACCGAATTGGTTTATCACACAGATGACACTTCCAGATATACTCTTAAAAAAACTAGGGGGATACTTGGATATTTCTTTGAATAGTTTAAAATTGTAAGAGATATTTGAACCGCGAATGAAGTATTAGTCCTGTCCCACTCCTCCTGCAGAGCCTTGCCAAGTTCAGCCAACGAGACCGGCCACCTGTGATGGTTAAACACTTGAACAAGCGACTAACGGGATCGGGTGGTCAGACTCACTGACTTGGTTGACACATGTCATCGTATCCCAATTGCTTAGATCGATACTCATGTTGTTGATCACTTTATTGTTTGGTCCAGATTAGATTATTTACAGACCGCAGCCTTAAAGCTGTGACTGTATTACTGTGGTGTAAAACTAAAATCACTCACTCACCATATCAACATAGAACCTTCCCTCTCGTTTATCCTGGAACAAGAGGGGCGGTGGGGTAGCCTAGTGGTTTAAGCGTTCGCTCGTCACACTGAAGACCCGAGTTCGATTCCGCACATGGGTACAATGTGTGAAGCCCATTTATGGTGTCCCCCGCTGTGATATTGCTGGAATATTGCTAAAAGCGGCTTAAAACCCAACTCACTCACTCCTAGAACCAGAACTTCCTTCTCTCATGTGAATAATCGGACAATATCCTTAGTGTCAGTCGTATCGAGATTATAACAAGTTATCGTGGTGAATGGCGCCAGGGTATTCAGTATTATATAAGGAAAATCTACTACACTGATAATCTGGAAATATTTTTAACTTCACTGCTCAGGAAACAACGAAAACCATCACCCATGCCTTAGTGTTGGGAATTGGTTGAAATCTCACAATTGATGATTGCTTCATTACCAACGAACAATCATCGAAAAAAATTGGTCAGCGTCATTTTTCAGATTTTCCTATCCAGGTTGTTATTGCAGATATGTATAACATGATTGCAACTTGCTACTTTCAAGTGATGACTAATATATCATGAACATAAACTTCCTTGAGTTTTAGAGAAACCTTCAGTCATGGCTTTTCAGTTAGTGAAGTGAGTTTTCTAAGAATTAAACACTTTTTCAGGCCCTGACAACTTCTAAGATATGTTCCTTTGTCAAGTTTTTCAAAGACTAAAACAGTAGTTCCAAAATCGTTTATGTTCGATTATGAGAAATTGTGATCGATTGCTTGGTCGTTTGGTCACTGCGACCAATCTTCGATTATTTAAGTTAATCGGAACACCACTACCATTCCTCCATGTCTCTGTACCACCTGTCAGCACGTTATCCTCCACGGGAGCACAATACATCCTCGACGTCAAGGCTATGGCAGACTCATAAAAACAACGGGAACTATAGCTTGGCATGAAATGCATGTGGACCCGGTTTTTTGTAAATATCTCTTCATCCAATGACCCAATCGATCTTAAACTGTGCAAGTGGATGTTTTGTCAGACAACCTAATCAAATTGTAAATCACTGATTTTATGCATTTGTATTAAAGAATCTGTCTATGTAACTGTCAACAAAATAAACAGCAGAACGCAGAATGCTTGCAGAGGGAGGGAGCCAATGACCTGTAACAGCGTCAGTGTTGGGTCATAAAGGTCAATGCACGTGCAGTTTTTGATAGTTACCTGTGCACTGCACAGTGATAGACCGTTTGGATCATTCACATTGACTACTTCTAGCTGTCACCATGAAAGCTTATTCCGATGATGCTAAACGTTTAATTAGAAATGCGTTTAATTTTTTTTTAAAAGAGAGCAAACGTAGCAAACCGATTTATAAGGTGTCGGATGACATGAAACTACAACTTTTGCTCTTGGCATGAAAAGAACATCGTGCTAAAAATTGTGAAAAATAAACCAACAACCAATAAAAAAAACCTTGTGCAAAAAGGTAGGCATCCAAAGTTAGATTCTTTTGACATCAGGGTCATCAGAGATGTCATTCGCCGGCTATTTGCAAAATTTAAAGATTTTAACCTACAGAATAATTCTCACTAATGGGTTTTGTGGTTAATGTTGAACAACTCAGAGAAACAAACTCCGTATGATGGTTAACAGTTGGCACCCACCTTACCCTATTCACGACCTGTGACACCTCTTCATACCTGTCACGTGCATAGCTGACCTACATTGACGAACGTTGACCTTTATGACCCAACACTGACGCTGTTACAGGTCATTGGCTCCCTCCCTCTGCAAGCATTCTGCGTTCTGCTGTTTATTTTGTTGACAGTTACATAGACAGATTCTTTAATACAAATGCATAAAATCGGTGATTTACAATGTGATTAGGTTGTCTGACAAAACATCCACTTGCACAGTTTAAGATCGATTGGGTCATTGGATGAAGAGATATTTACAAAAAACCGGGTCCACATGCTTTTTATGCCAAACTATAGCCGGGACAGCTGTGACGTGAAGCAAATATCATGTTGGCGTTCACATATATTTCTATCAGTATAATCAGGAATAGACTGCTTCCATTGTACTAACAAACGTCATGCTATATCTCCATGTGGGTGGACCCCGTGATCAATTCGTTTGAATTGGTAATCGGTATAATTCCATGCATGCGTCAAAAACTATTTTGAGAACTTGATAGTAGTGGTTGGTCCCAGTACTGCCATAGTGGATATGACGATGATAGTCTGACCACGCCAGAAGACACGCCTACAGTTCGACTTAGTGAGTCAGTGAGTTAAGTTTTTCTCCGTATTTAGCAATATTCCGGGAATATCACGGGCGGGGGACACCAGAAATGGGCTTCACACTTTGTACCCATGTGGGGAATCAAACCCGGATCTTCAGCGTGACGAGTGAACGCTTTAACCTCTATGCTAGCTATAGGATCCCAATACCTGCGGCTAGCTTGTCAGTTCCCTGTACCTGTAACTGGCTTCTTTGACCTGTTCGCGGGGCGGAGGGCTCGCCTCATTGTTAGTCCGCTCGTCACGCTGAAAATCCGGGTTCGACTCCCCGCTTGGGTACCATGTGTGAAGCCTTTTTCTATTGCTGGAATATTGCTAATAGCGGCGTAAAACTAAACTCACTCACTCACTGACCTATTTGCAACCCGTGAAGATCAGGGTTAGAATTGATCTTCAGCAGCCCATGCTTGTCCTAAGACGCAACTAAAGGGATCGGGTGGCCAGACTCGCTGACTTGGTTGACACATGTCATCGTATCCCAAATGCGAAGATAGATGCTCATGATTTCAGTCACTGGATTGTCTGGTTCATATTTACAGACCACCGTCGTGTAGCTGAAAAACATTTGAGTGCGGCGGTAAACAAACAAACAAACAAACAGTAACATGTTCGCCGATACATCATCAGCCCGTACTGATATCTAAACAACCGGTTGTGCACCGTCAGCTAAAACTGAGAGATACAAGATCTGGTCAAACGATTGTTGTATATTGAGCACTAGCATCATCAAAACAGATGTGTGTTATGGGATAGTCCTGTGACTTATACACAACTTGCGAATCCTATTTCTGGTGCACCAGCTGTGATATTGCTTGGAATATTGCTAAAAACGGCATAAAACCACACTCACTCACTTGTCACTCATAGGTTAGGTAGAGGGCCGGCATATTCTGACATTTTTGTTGTGTCCAACTGCAGTCATCATTGATGAAGTGCCATGTGTGTATGCGCTAATCGAGGGAGGGATTGTGTATCCTTATTTGATTGATGAAGTGCCTTGTGTGTATGCGCTAATCGAGGGAGGGATTGTGTATCCTTATTTGATTGATGAAGTGCCTTGTGTGTATGCGCTAATCGAGGGAGGGATTGTGTATCCTTATTTGATGTGGCTCTTTTTATAGAAACGTTTGTTCTGTTTGTGTGTTTGTTTGTTTTTTAACGCTGCACTCAGAAATATTCCAGCCATATGACGACGGTCTGTAAATAATCGCGTCTGAACCAGACAATCCAGTGATCAACAGCATGGGCATCGATCTACACAACTGGGATACGATGACATGTGTCAACTAAGTCAGCCAGCCTGACTACTCGATCTCCTACCTCAAGACCAGTCACCATTAGGATTAAAGAACACCAGGCCACAGTAAGAAACAAAGACTCTCAATCCCCCAAAACTGACCACCTTAAAGCCAACCCAAACCACAACATTATATAGTTGGAACACCACCAGGATCATCGAGAGGAACAAAGCCGACTTCAAAACCCGCAAACTACTTGAAGCTGGCCATATTAAGAAGATTACCCCATCTATCAACAGAGATGAAGGATATTTCATCCCCAAGGCCTATCATCACTTGCTGAATTAATTTTCATGCTTCCCAACAGTACCTAATCATTTATGTATACACCTATGTACATCCCCCCCTACTGGCTGCCAATCAGCATCCTTAATGCCTTATGTATACAACCATGTACCTCCATCAACTGGCTTCCATCAACCTACTTAATCCTGTATACTATCTGTGTTATCAACCTCTTCTATTGTATAAACAACTCATTTTAACCTCATCCTTTATCTATTGTCCAAACATCTCATGTATATATATCACCCAAAATTACTTCCCATGTATCACTTGCTTGACAACGACATTAGAATCTGTGAAAACGTCGCCTATACAGAATAAAGAAGTTGTATATCCATAAAAATAGTCCTCATCCTTCTGTGCTTGTTGGGTCACAATGCGGTACGGGTACTGCGGAAGGACCCATTCAGTAGAAACGGAGGAAAGCGCTCAGAGCATGGTGCCGAAAAAGGTCCCGAAGATAGCAAAGTTTGTATATACTGGTCTACTGCCTACGAGCAAACCTAAGTACCATGTTCTGTCATGATTGATTTTAATTGTTAATTTTTATCTGATGCAAAAGTTTTCATTTTTTGTAACGCGTTATAAATAAAGCACTGCACGTCCTTTAAAAAGTGGATCGATAATATATTGATTCACTCGACATAAGCGTCGATATCACTCCGGCAAATATTCTTCCGTGTCCATAAGGTTATAACATAATCTGTTAAAGGCGTTTGTATTAATAGGATTTGACTGTGTGTAAACAATATGAAAATTAAATGGGCATTTGTTGAAAAATGTTAAATAGATGATCATGTTACTATGTCTGGATTTATCAGTTTTTCTTTGTTTGTACATGAATTGAAGTGTCTACACTGGAGGTCGGCCACAGCTGTTCTGTGGGCAAAGGAAACTCTAGTCGATATCTCGGCAAATGGTTGATGACAGATAAACATATGTATTGACTTCAATGGTTTTTTCAGTCATAGATAATAACTTAGTTTCATTGTTGGTGAGTTTAACCTTTACGGAGTTAGGAACAAATTGTATGAACTTCAGAGATTGTGAGTTTATACTGGAATTAGTGAGTGAGTGTGAGTTTATACTGGAATGAGTGAATGAGTATATACTGGAATGAGTGAGTGAGTTTAGACTGGAATGAGTGAGTGAGTTTAGACTGGAATGAACTATAACAGTGAAAGTCAAGTCATATGATTTTAAGTATCACTTTTATGGCTCGATGTATTGCACGTTTAGCACATGTGACTTCTAATGCTTGAAGATCCGGGCTAGAACCGGCCTTCAGCAACCCATGCTTGAGGCGACTAACGTGTACGGGTGGTCGGGTTCGCTGACACATGTCATCGTATCCAAATTGCTATCAATCACTGAATTTTCTGGTCCAGACTCGACTATTTACAGACCTCTGTCATATGGCTTGACTGCGGGGTTAATCAACAAACAATAAGTGACTTCTTATTTTCACTGACAGTCATACAATGTCCAACTGTAACCCGGAAGTGAATAGTTCATCAAAAGAACAGGTGACACGTGAGTGTGTATTCTAAACTTACCCAACAGGAAATATGTTGTAGTTTGGTTTCGACAAATAATATCTAATACCGTCATCAGTAGATGAAAGGTGAGGTGAGGTGTGGTGAAATTGGGTTTAACGTCGTGCTTGAGAATATTTCGCTCATATGACGACGTGCATGCGTGTGTATGTGTATGTGCGGCTACTTGTACTAGCCCAGACTGAAGTTAGTTATATAGTGCTAGCCCACTGAGATACCATGCCGCAGTGAAGCATGAATACCCCACTCACACACATTATACTGACTCCGAGCCGACCAGCCCTTGTTGTACCGATTAATGCCGAGCGCCAGGCAGGGACCAACAAGTACCATATTTTAACGTCTTTTGGTATGACGCTGTCGGGGATCGAACCCGCGACCTTCCGCTCTCCGGGCGGACGCTCTAACCACTACACCACGGAGGCGGTTCAGTAGATGAAAAAGGTCGCTAATGGATTTCCTCAATTAGTCAGTCCCGATGACAGCGTGACGTAGTACATTTTCAGAAAAAAAGGACATGACGGGAGAGATAATTCTAGATTGCTGTAGTCTGTCACTTTCCAGATCAGAAACAACTCTTCTGCATGTATTGACGTGGAAATGTGTGTCTCTCGTCTAATAGACGATATGTTGGTTGGTTATTTTACGCCGCACTCGGCAACATTCCGGCTATAAATAATCGAGTCTGGACCAGAAAATGCAGTGATCAACAACATGAGCAACGATCTACATAATTGGCATACAATGACATGTGTCAACTAAGTCAGCGAGCCTTACCACCCGATCCCGTTAGCCACCTATTACGACAAGTATTGGTTGCTGAAGACCAATTCTAACCCGGATCTTCACGGGTCAGAAGATACGTATATCGTGCAATTTAGTTAGGCGTGTCCTCTTGTATGCCTGCTCTTGTACTATACATCTGCTGCTGCTGATGATGATAATGATGATATGCTTTGTGGTATCTACTCATGCTTATGTGTTTCCCAAGGTACAAAGTTTCGGCACCCCTCTCTCCGCCCCACCCCTACCACGTGCAGTTGACACACCAATATATGACTGAACTACTGTGTTACGTCACATAACTCCCAGTACACAACGTTTGATGACAACGATATTTATCGATTGCATGTCACTGACAAAACATACGAGAACAAGAAATTCATTTTTTTATAATCCATTTATTGGTGTATAAAATAAAAATATCAAAATTATGTTTGTACATTTTACTGTATACAATTAAATTTCCCGAAAGTGTTAACTCCTACAAAAAAAATGTAGACTGAACAGATGACAGATAGATGTATTTTCTGTCCTTCAATATGAGAATCGTACTTTCATCATCCCAACGCAAATTCATCATTCCAACCCCAATCGCTCAATGACCACCAGGATACCCCTTCAAAACATCCCCCAAACACTGTTCTCTGCTCTCCACCTATCCCCAGAGCGTCAACTCCTCTCGTTTACTATGTATAAATAAAAAAATCCATTAGAATCTTGATTTGAAATCAAACAATATATAACATAGGTATATTTGATATAAAAATATATAACATGTCTGCTTCTAACGTATATATCACAGCCCAGACAATCACATCCTGAGGTATATCATTAGCTGTCAATCATCAGGTCCGACTGTAGCTTGAAGTCCACGTGCCGTTCCTTCAACATGGGTGTGAACTTCTCCCTCAGATAGCTAAGCTCTGCCCATTCTATGTCTGTCAAGCCGCACACCGTGACGTGCAAAACCTGCAAGACTGTAGTAAAACAAACACAGATGTACCACATGATGTATCAGATGATGTATACACTCCGCCCACTATCGGCGCCTAACCACCGGTCGCCCGTTTCCGTAACCATTCGGTTCGTCGCGAAATGTAACGGCCATAAAATTCCCGAGTCCCGCGCTGGGATTCGAACCACGGACCTTCCGATCCGAAGACGGACGCCTTGTCCACATGACCAAAGATGTAAACCCCGTCAGCAAGCTGACAACGTAACGATGTCATCTGTGGGATGACGCCACGCCCTGCTACAACAACGTGAATGGTAACGAATGACATTTTAGTACAAGATTCAGAATTTACAGTTACAACGTCCCATGTCAGTTGAGTGTTGTTTCTCGGTATTTCAGTTACGTCAAGAAGTGACAATTCAGTGGTAGGTTTTTCTCGCAAAAAATATAAAATGCTTTTAAAATGCCCAATAATGCTTCAGACTGTTTCAGAAAGGCTCATGGTTTTAAGTAAAAGAGTGTTTTGGTTTTCAACCTACAGCTGAACAGTTCCTACTAGTCTCCGAACTATATTGCTCATTGCGGCGTTACAGAAGCCAGGATACACTAGGAAGCTTAGTTACCGTTCTGTGGCGTTACGACAAATTCACTCATTCTCTCATTTACCGGTGAACGAAAAAAGGACTTACGGATTTTATTCTCCTGAATCATCTCACAAATGGCCTCGATCGTGAACACGTGCAGGACGGCATTGATTGTGAGTTCATGCAGGCACGTGCAGCGCGAGAGCATGCGCACGAGGACATCATCTATGTACTCCTGGTTGTTGTCCAACTCCAGAGAAAGGCTCTCTGTAAACAATAAAAGGTGAGGTGAGGTGAAAGTGGGTTTATCGTCGCGCTTGAGGATATTTCGCTCATATGACGACGTGCATGCGTGTGTATGTGTATGTGCGGCTGCTTGTACTAGTCCAGACTTGAGCTGGTTTTATAGTGCTAGCCCACTGAAATACCATGCCGCAGTGAAGCATGAATACCCCACTCACACACATTATACTGACTCCGAGCCGACCAGTACCCATTAATGCCGAGCGCCAGGCAGGGACCAACAAGTACCATATTTTAAAGTCTTTTGGTATGATGCGGTCGGGGATCGAACCCGCGACCTTCCGCTCTCCGGGCGGACGCTCTAACCACTACACCACGGAGGCGGTTGTAAACAATAAAAGGCTCTCTGTAAGCAGTGAAAGGTTCTCTGTAAGCAGAGAAAGGCTCTCTGTAAACAATAAAATGTGCCGCAAGATTTTCATATATTTTTGCGCTGGGTACATATTCTTAACATGTCTACGAAAGGGATGTGACTGTGTGTGCTGGGGGGGGGGGGGTGCACGAGGATCCTGCATGAAAGTGTTATATTCGAAATTGAGTCAACACAAGAGACATGAAATAGAGAATTGTACTTCTCACCGGGGTCCCGGGTTTGGTCTTGTACTGATCTGGTCACGCACGACTCCGGATAGCAAGTGATATCGACGATTTCGATAAATGATACAGTTTCACGCTAATACGAAAACACAAACAGTAAACGTTTTCGTAAATTCTGTTCAAGTCGTGTGTGACCCTGGCTCACGTTGGTACTTTCGACTGGTTCAGCTGCTGCTCTGGTTCTCTGCCAATATACATTTGAAGATATGTCTACAACTTGGGAGTTTCTACTGCCCTTCTAGTGTAAAGGCTTGGTGACAACATTAAATACAAGCATGCCTCACGTTGTCCTCTAACTATTTGTTTACATTCGATACCTAGAACTACTATGTTTAAACATTCTGCCGTCCAGTCGGAGCCGAGAACCACTGAATGTTTAAACATACTGTCGTCCAATCAGAACCTATGAAAGACTGAGTATGAGTGAGTTTAGTTTACGCTTTTGGCAATATTCAAGCAATATCACGGTGGGGGACACCAGAAATGGGCTTCACAAATTGTACCCATATGGGGAATCGAACCCGGGTATTCGGCGCGAGGAGCAAAAGGTTTAACCACTAGGCTACCTCACCGCCCATCAGTCCGTCCCTGAACCACATTATTTTCCCAAATGTCAAGCAATGCTAAAGCCCTGAATGAAGCAAGTCTAGATTTCCCCTGCTTCAGGAATCTGAATCTAACTACACACTGGGGCTCCTTTTCAGTTTAAATGGATCCATTCGTTACTGCCAAAATTTTATATATTCAGGGACTAAGCGTTAGTCTGATAAAGGGACTGAACACCCTGCCCGTCTACAGGAGTGAAAGCCAATCTCAGTGGTGTTTAGTGAGACTTACGAAGAGTCTTCTTATAATGGATTCCGAGGTGGGTGATGGTCTCCGACAGATTCCAGTCAGTGTCATCGTCGTAGCCGCTCCACATATGCATGTCCTGTAAAGGCATTTCAGGTACAAGGATAGGAATTACGTCAGTGGACACTCCGATACTCTCAAACCAGACTTCCACTGTCAAATCTGGGCACGAACTTTTCAACATTTTCCAAGTCCTTCCAGAAATTCGATGAAAATGTGGGTCTGGCTTGAGAACCTGCAGAAAAAAATACAGATTTGAAAGACGACAATTCAAAGTTTTCTCAAGGTTTCATGGGACATTCCCCTGTTGTTTTCAAGGTTCATATTATCCAAGAGTTATTTTCACATCAAGCTAATAAAATGAATTAGTTTGTCATTAATTCTGATAATTTTTTGCACCAAATCCCAAGGTGTTTCAAGAGAAGCCTTAACATTTATGGCCTTTTCAAACCCAAATGTCCGTTTAAAACTTGTAGTACTAGTAATTGTTCCCATGTATCAGTAAGAATTTTTAAAATATTGAATGAAGGCTCAGCATTATATATTATATTTTACGGTTTCTCTGGAAGGTATTGTATTATCATGCGTCACATTTGTGACTGTTTTTGCCTTGATGTCTTCTTTGACTCTTTTGAAGACAAGTTTGAAGATCTCATGGAAAATCTGTCATTGGATGGATATGTGTCTTTGAACAGGCTATGACATCACAGTGTGTTAAAAATATGTGACGAATGTCCATGACGTATAAATAAATGAATAAGTACGCACGCATGCACGCACGCACGCACACAAGCAGGAGAGCTTATGTAGTTGACTTACCTTTATGAGAATGCGCGTGAGTTTTCCCGCCAGATTTTTGTTGAGAATGTTCAAAATATCATCGGACAGACAGCTGTAGTTGATTGACAGGTCCTGGAGTGCCGTGAAGTAACTTATAGTTTGTTTGAACCGCTTCACCTGATATATAGCTAGTCGGGTATGGAAGAAATCTTCAATTCCCAGAGTCTTCACAACATGACCAGAAGAATTACCTAGGCTCTCCAGCAACTTGCAACCATTAGTCAGCGAACACTGGGCAGAACTCATATCAAACTCCTCTATGTGACTTTGCGATCGAAAAAAACGGCAAATGCTCTCTACCACCTTTTCTCGAAGATTATCAAATTTCCAAAATCTGTCGAGTTCCAACCTTTCCAAGTCAAAAGTTACGAGGCGACAGCCTTGAATTTTCTGTAGAAAACTTTCAATATTCTTCTGAACGACTTTGGACGTATGGTTAGATGGATGGTTACAAGAGACGATCAGATGACGTAAGTACTTCCCGTGCTGCTCAGCAAAGCTGCACGCCCTCACCCCAGTAATGACTGCCCGGTACCCCCCTAGCTCCACGCTACGATGCCTCCATAAACACGGGGCATGAAATGCACGGAGCCAGCTACGGCACACAAGAGCCATGCTTGCCCGCTCCTGGTCATTTAAATAACAGTATATTTCTATCAAAGCCGTATCCGGAAGGTACGCCCAAGATGAAGATTCCATTGTGCCTCCCCAGAGAGGAGATGTAATCCCGCGTTTCACAAAAGCCTCCTAAATTTAGGAGGTCGTAGCCCATACGACCTTGTTTACGACCCTCTTCCGACCTCCTTTACGACCGTTTCACAAAGACGTCATATCCATGTCGTACGACGCGGTCCTAAATCCATGTCGTACATTGTATAAGAGGTACTTTGTTGCATAGCAACGCATAAAGCGAGACCGAACGGGCACCTGCTTATCTTGTTATTCCCAAAGTATTTCAAAATAGAAATACAGTTTGAATAACAATGCAAATGTTATGTTTTTAATTCAATGTACAGGTTATCTTATCGTAAAAAAATATCAATAAATGAATTATTTTGGATTCTCTCACTAAATTCCATTGAAAATTACAAGATAAAATGTATAAATCATTTCCATTAATATTATCAGTTTTACTTATAAGGTTTGAATTAAATCGCTGTCCATTAACTTGTTCATATGAAACTGCAATATTAGTCCCAATGTATTGAATATTGCACACTATAGGACCTAAAGTCAATGTTGCAGTTATGGCTACGCTTGATCTACTAACACTTGTGTAAAGGTTTAAAATATGGTGTGATACTCTAAATGTGTCAATTTCTTTTGTAACTTTTATTCAAACAATCAAAAACTTTCAAAGAATAAAAACGTATACCCTATATCCACGTATGATATGATATTGAACAAGGCTAAATGTAGGTACTGAAATTGGTTTCATGAAAAAAATATCTGAATGATACGCAAAATATACATCATAGTACTGAAAGTGTAATCAGAAGGATAGGACGATTGTGTTTACCTTTTTTTCATCCGACCTTCACCTCAAAGATATTGCCTAATATGTACAACAATGTTGACGTGTGACATCACAACCGATGACCGATTTCTTACAAAATGGCGGCTTCGCTGACAAGGGTACACAGGATTTTGGGAGGACTCTTCCCTTGATTCAGGGATCGTTTGTACATAAATATGAAATGTAAATAATCAGAGTGACTCTGCCTATCTGTGTATTGTTATATGTTTTCTTGGTAAGTAAGAGAAGAAGCCAGAAATGCTGATAATTACCGTTGTCGTTCTGTGTGATTTTGCGTCTGTTATGGCGTCTCGTTGCACGGAAACTTTGACAATTTCTTATGAAGTATCAAATCATTGCATTGTATCTATTTTTTCATTTCCTCTTTCTTGCTATGATACTCTATCAATACATATTCTAAAGGTATTGAGCCATTGAAAGCAATGAATAGCCGGCTGCTACGCAGTATAAATCGGAATTTGTCTTTGTTTACATTTCAAACTACGTCAGTAGCGCAGTCTTCCGAGCACAGCGTTTGTTTTCACACTCAATATCCAGTTGGTATTGGTAACAAAGACCAACTGTGATTTGATTTTGAAATGTATGGGGAATTCAGTGATGCATTTGTCGCAGCTGACTATGAAATATACGTGATGTAATAGGCGTCTCAATACCGGCCTTTGCGAGACGTGATTTTGTAAACACTATCCAATATGGCGGAAAGCGCACTTCGGCGTTCGTGTAAGTATATTTTCGAAAACATCCAAACCGATTCTAGGTTCATCGGCAGCGTTTCAGATTATCATTAGTGATATCATGAAAAACTGATTTCAGTGATCATTAATATGTTATTTTTGAAATTCAGTACTCCCAGTAATTATCCGATTTTCACATTTGAAAACATACTGTCTACACTGTACAGCAAATAATGCTGTGAATCGTGATTTCGTATTGTGTATAAAATGGCGACATTTACGATGAAGCCTATTTTGAAAGGTTATTTAAGCACTTTAGCTTTGTCTGAGATTTTAGTGGATGGTATCAAGAAACAGGGAATTTCCCGCAGAATACAAAACTGTGAAGTATATTTGTGTGCGTGACATATTTAGAATTTTATTGGACTTCAAAGTGAGGGTTGAAGAGGAAGGACATATGTCCCTGTGGCACCCAGGGTTTTTAATCAAGTCCAGATACACGGCCAGAGCACTAGCGGTGTCGCGGAGTATTCTTGACACACTAGCTCGGGATACTCCATGGAGATCCCCGATTTCACTGAGGAAAACCCCTTTTGCCAAATACCTCTGTGTACACAACACTTGCAGGAGGTCGGAATAGCATGTGAACGCCTTGTAGGTTTGTTCAGTTGGGGCTCTAACTTTCTGCACAGTTAGAAAACAACATGAGTGTCGAGCACGTTCGACCTGTCTCAAAATTTCTCAGGTCTTCTTTGTTAGCGCGTTTTAATCACTTGCAGTGCCATAATCGTTGACGCCATCTTTGTAGTGTTTACGACCTCCTAATGCATTTACGACAGGTCAATCGGGGTCCTATATTTTGGGCTGTTTACGGCACAGTGTAAATATACGAGGTCTTTGTGAAACGGGGTAAAAAAGTAAGAGGTGGTCTACGACCTGCTTTACGAGGTCGTACCGGTAAGAGGGCTTTGTGAAACGGGCCCCACCTAATCGCCAATCGTGTGAAAATTGCTTAGTGCAAGTTCCAGGCCAATTGCTATTAGCCTAAATTGTCTACATTAAACTATTTCATCGTGTACTTTCGACGTTTTAAAAATGCGAAACAAGAAACAACAAATGTTACATTTACACCGGATATCTACCTATAGTTACTATATTGGATTAGGTTCCTAATCCTAAACCTGACCCTAAACCTAACCCTAACCCCTCGCAATAATTCTGATACATTGACCGAAGCGACACGAAAATGGTTGACGTGTTCAGTGAAATGCATTCTTACCGCTACGAAAAATATAATATCACTACTTTCTGTGTAATGATGCAAAGGGGAAAAACGTAAAAACATATATGTTTGTATATGGTTCACATATCGTCGACCGTAACAGCTTTTGCTATGCAAATACATGTCAAACTAAAGTTCCTTTCCCAGAAGACATTTTTGTCAGATAGACAGAAAGTCGATAAAGATACGAAAGGCCAAAAAACAAAACAATGCAAGGCTGACACCGGGCATCAAATTCTGTTTTAACGTTGTCAATGAAAATGTTGATTAAGACAAGATTAAGCTTAGTCAACAATGGGATATTCTTACCAGAACCAAGGGCAACTAATCATGATTCACTGATTGTATTAGAGTGCCCTCCCTTTAATACCGCGGCCAAACGGGAATCTGTTGGCCACATGCCATAATCAAATATGATTAGCAGAACATGATACGCCCATGGAGCAATTTCCCACACTACTGAAACTTGTAAATACATTTGTAGTAAATTGTACTCATTAGTCTTTACTGACCAATCATATATTACCTCCTGAAGCCGTATTTACGTATTTAACAATTAGATAAGACAATTACATATACACTAAGAAAAAGAAACGTTACCCTCCTTCCTTAATGACGGAGGTACCTATCTTCAGCTGTCGTTGTGATGCGTGGACGTCCACTTCTCGGTCTGTCTACGGTGATCCCAGTCTGTCTGTTCCAAGCCCTGAATAAGTCTTATAACCGTGATACGGTGGCGTCCGAGGGCGTTGGCAACAGCATTGTATGTCGACCCCATCTGCACCATCCCAATGGCACTTTCACTCTCTTCAGCTGTTAATCGTGGCATATTTCTCGTACTTGTGAAATGGATGCAAATACGGCTTGAATATTGCTGCATTTTGGCGATTGATATTGCTATGTGTAAACACAAAATGGAGAAAAAAGTTACTTACCAAGCAAAAATGTTAACAAAGATAATTTTAGATGTTCCTAAACATTTTTACTTGTTTTACTTGTTTTCACTAATGCAAATCAACAGAAAATGTTTTAAAAGGCTGAAATCATAGGAATGATTATTTTACAATTTTACACACTCTGCAGCAGTTGTTTCTTGTTTTAATAGTTGAACAATGGTGACTTTAAATGGTTTATCATTGTCCCAAAGCAGAATTTTATGTCAACCTTGCTTTTGGACATCTAAATCGCTGTTATTGGTTTATTTCTTCATGAACGAAAATAGGACAATTTAACTCTTCTGAAAAAGATGCATTTCACGTAAATATGAATGCATTTGAGAAATTTCTTTTCGTGATTTGCATAAAGCTGTGTTGTAAAGCTTTCCTGTAAACTAATACCTTCTAACATATCTACGATAGATTTTAAGTAATTCATAAAGGTAGGAGGGTAACGTTTCTTTTGGCGTTTAGTGTACGTAATTTTCTATGATGTATGATATTCAATGAGTGTGACACTATCGTATAAATGGTTTTCTTCAGGATCGTTAGTGGCCACTGTAAAACTATAATATATATAACTATTACTAGACATGGTCATGTATATACGCTTGTGTGTACTGATATAGTTCAACAAGAAAAGTTGCAATAGCATATCTTCCTCCATCAGGATTTTATCTGCATCCCAGTAGAAAGTTTTTAAAATAATGCAGGTCTTTCTTGAACACTTCCTTGAACGTCTTCTTATCAAACTACATATCGCATCAACAAGCGTGTTGCACATGAATGTGGGAGGCGCCTATTTTTTTATCACGAAGACACTTTATTACTGCAAAAAGCAGCGTAAAATCATGCTCAGGAACTTAAAGATAATTACAGCGTTTGTGTCAGTGAGTGAGTGACTTGGGGTTTACGCCGCTTTAGCAATATTCCAGCAACATCACGGCGGGGGACACCAGAAATGGGCTTCACACATTGTGCCAAAGTGGGAATCGAACCCGGGTCTTCAGCGTGACGAGCAAACGCTTTAACAAATAGGCTACCCCCAACTCCCACGTTTGTGTCACAGGTAATGTGATGGGTGATTACAACCATGAAGAGAGACAGACCAACCGTAAAATAATACTTTTAAGGTATTTTCATGCATCCTCTGGCTAGGCGAGTCACCATGAAGAAAGAGCTACAACTGTCTCCATGGAGATGGTACTGACATGGAGCACCCTCTGCCTACATGTGTCGCCATGGAGATGGTAATGACAAGCACCCTCTGGCTACATGTGTCTCCATGGAAATGGTAATGA